AAAAAAATCTTTTTAAGATGGATTCAGGAGAGCTCACGCTGAGACATTACAGCGAGATATCAAACCTGAGAACACTGCACCATTATAGTAAAACATAAAGTCTGTCCCACCCCCACCCCACTTACATCTGCTGTTGGTAAACATCCATTAAATCCAGTAAATGGAGGCTTAAATTGAAGGAAAAAACAGCATCTGGAAGAGTGCAGGAATCCACTTTTATCTGAAATGTGGCCTTTTGCTAAAAGCTTTCATTTTGTTAAATGTTCACTTAATGTTCTTTTTTTTTTCTTGTTGTTTTTTTATTCTTCCAAAAGAACATGTGGATTGAAAGAACGACTTACGTAACCGCCTATAAGCTGCCTGGCATCCTGCGCTGGTTTGAAGTCGTGTCTGCCACGCCGGTGAGTACGCTGGGTCATAATATCCCCGCTTCTTGGTTTTTGATGGTTTGAAAGAAAAGGTTCACCTTGAATGAACTCTGATACAGTAGATTTGACCGGTCTCACTCTCACTGCATTCTTGCATAATATACATGCCATTTCAGAATGTGTGTAAACAATAGGCACCGTGATACTTCCGGGCGGCAGAACGCCCAACTGAGGAGATCCAGCCGGCTACTGTAACCATTACATAGATAAACACACTGTTGTTGATCAAAGTTGGGGTTGCGCTGCCATATTTACAGCAAAAGGTGTAGGGGTGGTTTTGATTTCTTGTGGGTGAGGAGGTTATAGCGGGTGAACGTTGTGTCGTCAAAAGTAGGAAATCTTAATGATATCCTAAATTATATATATGATTCATCCAATGTTTACATTTCTGTTGCCAACCCCTTTGTGTATTTTCAAAACGGTCCATCTACAAAATCATAGCAGAGCATTTTATCTTCAGCCGGGACTATTATTCGAGACTAATATTAGTAAACTTGTCTCTTTTGAAGATCAGACTCATTGCCGGTCACTGCCTGAAGTAAAAGAGGGCTGCATTGACCGTGAGACTCACGCAATTGATGGCTAAGCCACGCCCTCAAACGCGATGAGCCAATCACAGTGCTGCGCAGTACACTCAGACATTCTCTGCTTCCACATTGCAGTTAGTCAGTTTTCATTCGTTTTTTCTTGTCATTTTAAGTCTAAAATGGTCAAACGGTGTGCATGGGGTACATGTAACTCCGACACTAGGTTTCCGAGAGGCTGGGCGACGGTGTGTATTTTTTTTACCCTTTCCCATGCCACATCTCAACCCAGATAAGTGTCTGCTCTGGATTAAGTTGTGATGTGGCAGACGTGGATAAATTAAACAAGGATGTCTACATCTGATCTAGGTGAAATCAACAACGTATTTGAACATTATCTTTAAAATCTCTAACGTAACGTTGGGCTAACATTAGAAAACGTTAACGTTAGCTTCTAGCTGTGTTGTCATGTCACTTAGCTTTATTAACGTATAACCGAGATAACAAATGTTTACAATGTTGTGCTGAATGATTCATACTGTAGCATCAAACGCTGATGGCAGCGATATGCGGGTTATCATGTTTACACTGTGACGTTTTTGCCTGGAGCTGAAGCTTTTCATCGACCTTCTCAACAATAAAATTATTAATATACCCCTCCAATGCATAGTTAAGGCCCTTTAGGTGACTTCGAGATGATATATAATCTTTCTGTCTCCAAAAATCACCAATTGCCTCCTGTGAAATGTCTGCCATAGCGCCTGTCCCCGAATGTCGACCTTGCGTCCGAGTGAGTGGAGGGGGCGTGGCTTAGCCATAGGCCGATTGTCACTTTTCACACGCTCTCACGCCACACATCCATTTTCTCACGCAAATGTATATTCCTCATATATAATATCGACCAATCAGTGTTTTCAACCGCGCAAACAGGTTAATAAAACAGCTGGAGAACATTTGGCACATAACATGTACCTCAGGAAAGCCATTTAATGACCATGATAGGCTATAAAGCACGTTATTTTGGCAAGAAAAATGAGCTAGAGAGTATTTTACCAATTATGTGTAGGCCTACTATATCTATGACATATTTATTATATTTTTTTACTTGTATAATTAAAAGACAATTGTTATTATGATTCAAAAAACACCTTATATTTAATTTAAAGTAAAAAAAAATTATTACATTTTTACATTTGACGGTGGGTCTCCCTTCCAAGCAATTTACTAGCGCTGCCATAGGAGCACTTCGGCTTTTGCCACCCGGAAGAACGTCTATTACTGTTGTGACGTCGTATACCTGTACAATATATTGTAAAGTAGACCTTACCTGTCTTAGGCCGTGTGTCCACCAAAGCGTTTTTATCCAGCTGAAAACGCTTGACGCTCTGCTGAAGACGCCGTGCTTTGGGCGCTTGAGAGCGTTTTGGCAGCGCAGCGTTTTTTCCGTTGAGACGTTTCGTTGCTATGATACAGAATATCCGCAGCAGTTGAATGTTGTGACAGTTGGTCGGTGTGGTATTAGTCCCGCCCCTCCTCCATTGTGATTGGACGGCTGGGTAAAAAGTGACAGTGATGAGCGCTGCGTTTTATCCAAAGTTGAAATTTTTTCAACTCCCAGCGACCAGTAAAAACGTTGGGCGTTCAGCGCCTCGGTACGCTCATGGCCTTTAAAAAACGCGGCGCTCCCATTGAAAACAATTGAAAACATACGCCAGGCGCGTGGAGAAACGCTTTGGTGGACACGCGGCCTTACTCTCGCCATCTTCGAGTATGTAAGACCTCACATGTCTTGAGATATATTAAACTGGGTGTCATCAGTCAACAATCTGATAAAGTAGAAGCGTCTCACACTCCATTACAGCAAGACGTGACCTGTCTCTCTTTCTCTTTCCATCATGCATCGTCCTCAATTTGTGCAGCGCTGGGGGAATCATGGTTGCGTGTGCTGACTCGCTCCATGCAAATGTTTTGCAGGAGAGCGGCTCTGGCATCATGTGATAACCAGATTGGATGCCCTGGTGTTTATGCGTTCAAATTTGCACCGTCTCTTTTTAGCTCCTCTTCTCACTGTCTCACCGCACACTTTTTTTCTGGTGTGCTTTCGTTCTCATTAGCCTCCCTGGCATGAGTTTCCCGAGATAGACACATCAGGGCATCTGTCTCTCGCAGATTGATTTTGGATCCCGTCACAGATGCATTATGGGTGACGGATCATGAGCCAGAAATTCCTTTATTGCCGAAGAGAACGTGTTAACCCATTCATTAGTGCATCGGTAAACAGTTCAGTGTTGAAAATGAGGCGTAATTTGACTTGAAAACCTGCTCGTGTTGTTCCACCGCTCATTAGTAGAGTTTGTTTGTTGGATTTCAACTTTAGTTGCGTAACATTAATGTGTTATACAGTAAGAGTCGTCGTTTACTGCTCTGCCTAGTTGAATGTTTTCTGCTTGGCATCTGTGCAAATTCGTTCTGCCTGTTTAGTGTCATTTTTAGCCAACGCAGTTTTTTTGTAAATCATCCTTTTGTTGTTACTTATTCTCTGAAAATGATATATTTTTTTTGTTTCTGTGTGCAGGAGGAAATCAGTCCCCTTGAAAACGCTCTGGAGACCATGCAACTGACCAATGAGAAAATCAGCAACATGGTCCAGCGCCACCTTAACGACCCCAGCCTTCCCATCAACCCCCTCTCTTTGCTCCTCAACGGCATCGTGGACCCAGCTGTCATGGGCGGCTTTGCTAATTATGAGAAGGTATGAGATTATTCTGGTAATTATTGCCAAATTGTGTGACGGCACAAAGATTAAACGCTGCGAATCAGCTTGATTGTGAAAACTATTTGAACCATTTCATATTATAAAGTACACTGCCATCAGTAAATTCAGCGATATTGTGAAATATTATTTACAATTTAAAATAAGTGTTTTATATTGTAATATATTTTAAAAATGTAATTTATTCCTGTGATCAAACTCGAGATTACTGCAGTCTTCAGTGTCACATGATCCTTCAGAAATCATCCTAATATGATGATTTGCTGCTCAAGAAACATTTCTGAATATTATCAATGTTAAAAAGAATTTTTTTTTAAAGAAGATTTTTTTTTTTTTAAATATATTTTTATCAGGATTCTAAAAGAACTGCGTTCATTTGAAATAGAAATCTTTTGTAACATTATAAACGTCTTCATTGTAAACAGAACTGACATTTTGAACAGTAGTTAATGGGTTTTTAGGTGGGTTATTTTGTTTTGTTTGTTTCTTTCTTTGTTTGTTTATACTTATAGTTATTGTTTTATCATCTATAGGCCTTTTTCACTGAGAAATACATCCAGGAACATCAAATTGACCAGGAGAAGATTGAAAGGCTGAAGGATTTGATTGCCTGGCAGGTAATGATATATAATGGGCACATATCTTAAGGTGTTTGCCATGATTTTGCTGGTGATTATAATTTAAAACAAATTTTTATGCTTTTTTTTTTTTTTTACCATTAAGTTCTCCTACAGCTTTCTTGTCACAAAGTATGAGAGTATTGCGTTTTATTATTTTAATAACATGTCTGATTTAAAGTTCAGTGGTAGCATCCCGTTACCATTTGGTATATGATGTATTTTCTTTGAACAATTCAAGCTGTATATATATATATATATATATATATATATATATATATATATATATATATATATATATATATATATATATATATATATTCATAACCATAACTTTTTTTTCACAAGTTTTTATAACCAGCATGCACAATGTGAGATCACAGTTCTTCAGAAGATCTTAAAGCATCTGTCATGCAGTATAAATATCCAGCGAGAGTTTTTATTTAAAGGAAAGTCTCCCGGGGATATACTGATGTACTTCCACATGTTGGGTTGAAGCGGCAAACTGACTTTATCATCACATCTAAAGTCTTTTATCTCTCCTCACTCTGTTAAAACAGTGGTAATGGTTACAGGGCAACACGTCAAATCCTCCTGCCTCCTTGCCCATGAGATTGTGTGTGTGTGTGCAAGATAAAGATCTACTGAAGATGATCTTAATGCTGACAAAGTTTCATTTTTAGCTGTTTAATGGGGAATGCATTCCGATGATTTTTATCTCTCCAAAACCAGATCTGTCATGCCTAAAGTATAATTGATGTCTGCATTATTTTTCTAATAATTAAATGACCCGGAGTCAATCAATCTGGTACTACTATTACTATGCTTCAAGACATTGTTGTTTTATTTCAAAACAGATTTGTCAGGTTTTTGTCTTTTAAAAGCTCTCGTGTGTAGGACTAATTTCTTCACAAGCCTCCGATGCTAATTCCAAAATGTCATTTTAGAGATATTAACAGAGGCTTGAGTGATTGATAATCAGACTAATGGAGAGCGAATGAAAGATTGATAGTGTCTCTCAACAGTGTTAGGGAGCAGAGTCTCTACTAATCGCAAAGCTGTAAGTTTAACTGTTTCAAAAACAGCCAAGTCACTACCCAAGTCACTATTTTTGGTATGTTTTAGCTTACCTCAAGGGCATCCAAGATGTAGGTGCCTTTGTTTCCGCAGCATTTTGATATTTTTAGGTCAAACCGTTCTTGTCCGTCAGTCATATAATGCAGGTCTATGGTCACCACCTCAAAGAGCATGCACAGAGAAGACTAAATTAAACATGATTTTATGACTCGTAAATGTAAGTACACATTGATGGCCTAAGACACAAAACGAGCGGTTTGTGTGAGAAAACAAACAGTATTTATATCGTTTTTACCTCTTGTAACCACAGCCACGTTCAAGTGATCTGAGGGCGTGGGAGCCTCGTTCACATAATATTCTCCTCTTCACACGTCATATACTGACGCTTTTGACATTTCGTATACATCCAAAGCACATGGCACCCTTTATGGGCAAAAAGGCGCCTCCTAGTGGTCTAACCCTAACACTACCCCAAAACTAAACCTACCCATAACCGAACAAAGCTCTGTGCGTGTTATATTGACGCCCATTTGCGTTGGATTTAAACTAAATGTCAAAAGCGTCACTATATGACGCCCTAGGATGAGAATGCGTTGGATATTTTGGCCTTTGATGTATTCATTTTAGAGGGCTGGAAATGCCTTGGTCAAGTTGTATGGGACCAGATTTGACCAAAGAGCAGTCTTGTGTCTTCTGTTTGACTTTCACTAGTTTGACTGTCCTGTGTGTGATGAATAGTCATCAGTCTGACCAGCTGTCCCAGCGTTCAGGCTGTTTGTCTGATCCAGGCGCGTGTCGTATACAGTTACTCTCAGTACATAAACGCTTCTGTTGGATAATGGTTATTGGCTTGTTTGCTGTAGGGATGTGGACAGAAATGTAACGACACAGAGGCTGGTTTGTGGATGTATTTTCCGCTAGATGAAATGACAGACAGCCGTTGATGACACACATCTAAAGAGCTTTTCTGTGCATAACAGATGTGAGGTATTGCTGTAACTCTACAGATATTTTGTACCAGGAGGCCCATGGGACAGAAAACAAACCTGTCAAACTCTCTCTTCTATTCTTTCAACACTGCAGATGTGTGTGTGTGTTTGCTGGACAAACTTGATTCTGTAGCTTCCTATATGTCGATAATGTGTGTAGAGATTCAACATGGTCTGATCTTGCAGGAGATGACAGCTAGTTTTGATGCTTTTGATTAGTTGTTGGACACATAGGAAGAGTTTAAATATGCTATGAGACCACATACAATGTGTTTGACATCTCAAGATAAATAAATAAATATTAGGCAATGCTTTACATCAGCCCTTCTCAAAGTCTCGGAAGTCCTGGATTTCGTATTTCAAGAGCTCTAAGTGTGTGTGAGGGATTAAAAGTGTGGTTTTCCTACTTTGATAAATGCATTTTTAATGAATTTGTTTCGTTTTTTACGTTTTTTTTTTTTGAGATGGTCCAAAGGCGAGATATGTAAAGTTTTCCTCCGTGATTTAATTTTTTTTTATTTGTAAAGTTTTTTATTGAGCATATAAACATTATACAGTCTTCGATCAACAATACAGGAGAGGCTCAAATATTTTTATATAACTGTACATATAGACAAAAACAAAAACAGACAAAGCGGAAGTAGAATAAAGTTTGGTAGCAGAAGGTACAATAATAATTTATATGAATAAAGTAAAAGGAAATAAATATTTATACAGATACTGATTGTAAGAAATCTGTAAAGGGTTGCCAGATCTTATAAAAACCTGAGAGATTGTCCTTCAACAAATAGCAAATTTTTTCCAAATGTAGAGTATTGGACATGTCCCGAAGCCACATTTTGTCGGTGGGTATTTCTGGTCCTTTCCATGACATCAGGAGTAACTTTTTAGCAGTAATAAGAGAGTAGGAAATGAACTGCTGCTGGGGTGAAGTCAAATTTCTAATTGCCATGACATTTGGCGTAATTGAGCGTGATTATGTAAAGTTTACATTAAGGTTCAATTTGTTAACATTACATGAACTATTATAAATTTAACAGTGAACAAAAGCTATTTACAGTATCAGTATTCATATAAAGGTCATTTAGGTCCATGTTAATGTATGTAGTAATTTGTAATAGAAATTCCCTTTGTCATTTACCCCTATTTTTTATTTTTGTATTTTTCAGTATAGTATTTAAAAATGCCACTTATGGAAAATAAAGACATCATACCCAGGTGAAAAAGACGTTGTATTAAATGTATTAAAAATATATTTGAAATACAAATAGTGTGTTTATAATACATTTGTATTTACAACATGCTTATTTAAAGTGTACTAAAAATGTATTTTATTGCATTTTAGTATATTTCTAAAAAGTATACTAGAAGTACATTGGTAATAAATATATATTTAATTACACTTTTAAGAAATATACTATAGAAAAGCATACTTTTAATGTATTTATAAAAAGTATATTAGTAATATATTGGTAATAAATGTATGCTTTATTATATTTTTAATAAATATGCTAATGATAATTATACTTTAAATGTATTTCTAAAAAGTATATTAGAAGTACATTGGTAATAAATATATGTTTAAATACACTTTTAAGAAATACACTATAGAAAAGCATACTTTTAATGTATTTCTAAAAAAGTATATTATTAGTACATTGGTAATAAATGTGTGCTTAATTATATTTTTAATAAATATGCTAATGACAATCATGCTTTAAATATGCTTCTAAAAAGTGTACTAGAAGTACATTGGTATACAATTACATTTTTAAGAAATATGCTAAATACAAACATATTTTAATTATATTTAAAAATGTTTAACTAGAAACGCAATGATAATAAATATACACTTAATTACACTTTTAGAAATATGCTAAAAACAAACATAGTTTTAGTGAAGTTTTAGTGTACAGAAAGCATACTTGTTGCTAAATTAAAGTATTTTTGTGTTCACTTGAAGTTTAAAAATTCAAGTCCCTTTAATTCCCTTCCTAACATGAAGGCAATTAAACATGTATCGAAATTAATTGTATATTTCTACAAAGACTAGAAGTAGCACTTTAATTATAAATATGTGCTCAGTTAAGCTTTTAAGAAATATACCAAAAACTACCACACTTTTTGTAATACTACCAACACTTAACTTAATGCATATGTATTTTTACACTTTATATTATGTGTTTTAGGTTTAACTTTTTTAAATTAATTTGTTATAATTATGAAAAGCACTAAAATTTGACTAACAAGTAATGCACTTCTATACTTCTGCATTAATTAATCAAATAGTCTTTTCCACAAAACAAGTGAATACCAGTACTTGCACACATCAACATAAAAGATCAGGTGTACATACTAGAAAAACAAAATTAATTTCTTAAAGCTTGACTCTTACATTTGTTTAGCCAAAATGAATAAAAAAAAACTTGTTATAAAGCATGTTATGTTTATATTAACAGAGTTGTTTCTTTTTTGTGGATGTTAGTTAATATTTCCAGTTGCATTCATTTGGACCAATCAGAGCCAATCTTTTCAAAACAAGCTTGCCGGCAATTGTCCAATCACACACTGCCATTTGAACTTACATGTTGGGTGGGGCGCGGACAACGGATAGGCCTACTGACTGTCTGTGGTATTCCATTATAGCTTCGGATATTTCAACAGAAATCATGTATTTTCCAAATTTTGCTTTTTTATTTCACTGACTCGGACCTAGTGAATGTGGATAGCACCGATCTAATATTAAGAGAACACACGAGCAGATTACCAGGTCGTCAGCTCCCGCGAACAATTTAGCAGTGAAGAGGACAACGCAGAGGTGCGCCGCCACGACATGGACAGAGCAAGATACTGCCAGAAAAGATCTTACTTCTTGATGGTAAGTTTATTAGTTTAAGTGATTAGTGTAATTGGCTTTATTCTCACTTTGAGTTT